GCTTCTTCTTGACCACGACTCTATTCTTATCATTGTGCGAGTCCTGAATCGGTGCGTTTGAATCTGTTTTCTGATTACGGTTCGATCACTTTGATTTTAAGGACGAAGTCATATCAAAGTCAAGGAATGGGTCTCATTGTTCGGAGCGCATTTTTGTTAGGGTCTGCAAATGGAAGTACCTATAAATGGACCCTGTGGATACTTTACCAAAAGAATAAACTCCATTCTATAATAGCTAAAAAAACGCACAACAGAAGGAGGCGATCCACTCTTCATCATTTCTACGATGATAGCTTCATCTTGCAAAGGTAGTGTGGGAGTGGCGGTGGTCACGGGATGCCCAATATGACCTATACATCCAAAATATTGTACAGTGCCATCATCCAGCCGAAGAACCTGGAAAACACTGCTCATGTCATGAAAGAATTGAGCTACAATTTGACACACATTCAAAAACGCCGTGCAGTGGCTGTTGATCCGCCTCGGTATTGGGTAACGTTGGCGCACAGCACGGACGTCCACATCCTTTCTAGTTCCTCTCGAACGTTGGCAGACAAAAATAATTGTCCTCCCCTCCATCGTTTCATAAGTTCTCCTTATGACGAAATAAGTCCTCGTAGCCAACTCTTTGGCGCGTTTCCAGCTCTAGAATCTAGTCTTTGGTCCAGCTATAAAAAGTTGCCCATAACAAAGTTGTTATATGCGCACCTCGAATTCTTGCCAGTTCTGCATCTGACCCTTAATCACACTATAATCCTGCCCAGGCACTGAATCGTGATGGTAATCCCTGCAGTGATTTGCGAGAGACGAATAGCGTGTGAATCGTTTCTCACATTCGGGACAGACTACCCATCCGCTTGCATTGTCAAGACCATGCACTTTCTGACGGGGAAGTCTTTTGAGTAATATCAAAGCACATATTGTATGTCAACACAGTTCAGCAGCGAATTACCTTACCTGCTGATGAGTTAGGAGTCCTCTTTTGGAGAAGAAAATTTGTCCACATTCACAGGGAAGTTCAATCTCTTCATTACTTTTGCTCCTCTTATATGCCGCTTTCAGGGCAATGACTTCTTTTTCCTGCCAATAGTGGATGTCCCTGACGTGAGCGTACAGGTTTTTTGGAGCCATCAGTTCGATATTACATTCAGGGCATATGCCTTTGCCGTCTCGGAAAATATCCTAAAATGCGCTGACTTTATGTCGGTACGATTACGAAGTTCAAAGCACCAAGTACCCCGGCATTCATAAGATCCTTGCTGCTTTTTGCTTCCTCCATAGGGGATTGAAACCAATGTATATAGGTCTAAAATCAAACATATTTCATATTAAGAATGGCAAGGTAATCATACAGTTGGAGAGAGCAAAAAAACCTACAAATGATAACTTTTCTAAATTGCGAAGGATAACTCAAACTTTCTGTTATGCTCAGCAACGGCGAAAATAGCGAACTGCACCTGAATAACCGAATGTGGTGAGGTCATGGACACTCCCAATGTATTTCGTGCTTTCACTCAAAAATAAGCCACATGCTGTGATGAGCTTCCTATTTGAGCATAATCAATACTTACATTTTTCTCAAAGTGATTTTTTTGAAGTCGTTATAAAATTTGGAACAGTAAAGATGCGAAAATAAAGCCTACCAGTGGATTACTCAAAACGCCCTTTCAAATTCCTTTATTGGTAAAGTACATTGCTTCATAAGCAGTAGTGCATCAGCGATGGCATCTAGCAGTAGACAAACCTGGTGTGAGAAAAAAA